GGATTAGCTTTTAGACAAAATATAAAGTCTCTCGCGCCAGACGTCATTGCTGCAATTCAATGTCCACATTCTGCTGTCCACGAGTGAGTCTCAAGTTTTTGCTGAAACCTTTTGCTTGCTTAGCAGCTTGCAGAGACTAGTCAAGATTCGTAGCAGAGAATCAAAAGAAACCCATTTTAGGCGTCTATTGCTTGCTTCGATGCGTGCAGAGATCAATGTGTACCTTTCTGCAGGACCCAGTCATGCATTCCAGGTAATCTTAATATATGTGAAGTTTATTTTGGGTAATAAGCAGAGTAACTGTTAATATAAGGTGTCCAAAAGTACGTTCGTGCTTCAGTGGTAATTGACTCCCCCCGTTAAAAAATTGCTTCCCTGACTAACATTTCAATATCTCTACATTGAGGCTCTACGTTAACCTTTGAACTAAAAAAAACACATTGCTGTCCCTGCACTTAAGAGAAGCTCATTTCTCTCCTTCCTGTCACTCCTCACTTATTATATTAAGATCTACTATGAATCATAGTTTTAATGGTCAAACAAGTCGCTGTAATGTATAAAGCTTAGGCATTCAAGTGTATTTTCCAGAATAAGCGCGCTTTTGTAGGATTATCCACAAAATATGTTCTCTTCAGTGTCAGATTGATGGTTAGCTTGCTCTAAAAGAGGACACGTTCAAGGTACTCGAGTAAACTTAAAGGCAGTTTCTATAGATCTAAAAACTGTATATAGGAAGAGGAATTGACCACCAAACGTACTGCCACTGAGTTTTGAATATTGAGAAAGAGGAAAAGTTTCCCAAATCAGAACCCCTTTTCTAAAGACATCTAGATACAGTAAATGGTTTTTGGAAATGTGAATGTAAAAAAAAGGATCACTCGTTTTCTAAACGCTTCGAAAGCGTCGAAGATCTTCCAAAAGATTTCAAATATGATGTACCGTTCGCGCAAAATCCACGATCCAAATCAAAATCCAGCAAGGTTTCTCTGTTAAAGTAACGTCTGAACTTTCAGTGTTATAGTTCTCTAATTGAGATTTTGAAGCATTCTAGAAATTGATAACCAGCTAATTTCGAAGCGATTTTACACAGAACATTATTTAGACAATAAGATGTGTCTTGTGCACCTGCAACAGGGTTACAAATTTAATTGCCATTGCAGGTCCATCTACATGGCTAATCGGGGATCGAAATAGGAATTATGCGTAGTGCTTGTTCTTAGTTGGTTGTCAATCAAAATGTTGAAGTTTGTCGTATTACGTTTTGTTAGACGATCGATACGATTTGGAAAGGGAAGTATTGTAATGAAGTAGTAGTTGTCACTGAGCAGCTAAAAGGCATGTCTTAGCTTAGTGTGTTGACGACGGCATAAGGGGATTTAAGTTGTGCTGTGGGCTCGACGCTTACTCCCAGTGGTTTTGCAACAATGTGCCCTGTTCACTTTGACAATCAATTATCCTAGCAATTTCCTCGGCATTTCAATGTGAGTATACGCGTTAGCTGCGAGGTATGGAGGTTATTATTAGCTGTGAGCTCCGAGTGAATCATAACGACTCCTAAGTTTTGTGGTAACAATCATTATATATGATGGTATTCGTACATATACATCTAAAGATACTTGCTATTAAAAAAACTAGTTGGAGCAATAACAATATAACTCTACCTTTAGGATGTATAACAACCTGCTCTAGCGGATGTGGTGTTCCAATTCATTTTCAAGAAGCACAGCACACCGTTGTTGTGCAACAACAACCTCAAGCAGTAGCACAGCCTTTTATCCAACCGCAGGCAATTTCTCAACCAGCACCTCCTGTTGTCGTAGAACCACAGCCAATGGTGCAACCTCAGCCGGTGCTTCTTCAGCCAGTAATACAGCCCCAGCCAGTGGTACAACCTCAGCCTGTGATACAGCCTCAGCTGGTGATGCAGCCTCAGCCAGCAGTCCAGCCATCGCCAATGGTCCAACCCCAACCTTTGATACCGCCACAAGCACAGATAATCGTAGCTGATCAACCAGTTGCCCGAATGACCCCCTCAAGCTGTATGTCAATGTGCCAACAAACCTGTCACAGCAAATGCCCAACTAAGATCTGTTTGAGTATTTGTTTGAAAAACTGCGGTAACGTTTGTCAATCATGCTGTGAACCAGTTGTGATACGTGTACCGGAATCACTTCCACTAATACAACCAGTAGTACAACCAGTGGTACAGCCAATAGCGCAACCAGTGCTAACACCTCTACCCACCCCACCTCCACCTCCGCCAACCGTCGTTCCACCACTACCACCAACTCTG